GCCTCGCCAAATTCCTCGGGGAGAATTATATTGTTCACAGGGCAAATTTGCCCCGTTCGAAGTGGTGCACTGCGAGGCGCGGACTACTCATGCACAAAGGTTTTCCAACAACGTTCAAATTATTATAACCTAAACAAAGCTGTCCCAGATTTTATGGTTGGTTTGATTATGAATTGCATCACATCATCATCCTTGCAAGTTTTGTGCAATGGTGAGACTATGGAGAAATTCTTTCCGAGCAGAGGAATATGTCAAAGGTGATCCTCTTTCACCATACGTATTTGTGTTATGCATGGAGAGGTTATCTCACCTTATCAGTGATGCAGTAAATTCAAAAAGGTGGAAACATTTTTGCTTTCGAAGGAGTAAACCACAAATTTCTCATCTGATGTTTGCGGATGATCTCCTGTTAAGGGCAGAGGTTTCGAGAAATCAAATGGATGTCATCCCGGAATGTTTCGGCGATTTTTGCAGTAGATCGGGACAAATTGTGAGCAAGGCTAAAACTAAAATTTTCTATTCAAAGAATATTTCTCTGGGGTTGAAACGTAATTTGAGCAAGATTTCTAGTTTTGGTGTATGTGTGAAGCTAGGAAAATATCTGGGAGTGCCTTGATTCATGGAAAAAACTTCTTCGAGGCATTTTCAATATGTATTGGCGAGGACGAATAAAAGGCTTAGTGGATGGAAATCTAAAAGCTTGTCAATGGTGGGTCGAACTAGTTTATCCCAGTCTGCAGTTGTCTATCCCTATCTATCACATGCAATGCACTAAAGTTCCAACTCAAGTTTGTCGAGAGATTGAAAAGAATTGTCGTGCTTTCATATGGGGAGACACAAGCGATAAACGTCGAATTCACCTCCTGAATTGGGAGTCCATCTGCAAGCCTAAGAAATGTGGTGTTCTTGGTTTTAGATCTCTTGAACTGACTAATGAAGGATTTATGATGAAGCTAGCGTGGGGCCTCAAAACTCAACCTAATAATCTCAAGGCACAAGTTTTGATTGCCAAATATTGTTCGCAGAGAACTGATTTTCATGCTAAACCTAGTGACTCAACATTATTGAAGGCAATTGTGAACATTTGGCTGGCCTTACAAGAAAGAGTTTTATGGAGTTTGGGAAATGGCAAACATGCTGGACAGATAAATGGACATCATGTATGGAGCTGCTTTATAATATTGTTAATACCCACCTATCTTCTTTTGAGATTGACAGAAACGTTTGCGATTATGTGCTAAATGGAAATTGGAATTTTCGGATATTTTAGCATTAGAGCTATCAAACCTCATTCAGCCTATAATGAGACGATACTCTTTTGTGGGAAGGTATTGGAAGCGGGTTTTTCTCTGTTAAGTCAACATGCGAGGTAATCAATGGGGCAGACAATCAAGAATTTGAAAGTATATGGTCCACAATTTGGAAGTGAAAGGGACCTCAACGCATTAGAACTTTCCTCTAGCTAGCCACTCATAAGCGAATGTTGTTGACAAATGAATTGAAGACATGTCGCAACTTGGGAGGAAATCCATATAACATGAGATGCGAGTCTCATGTGGAAACAACTTTACATGTTCCAAGGGATTGTCCAATTGTCCGTAGAATATGGCCTGAGTTTGTCCCACAACAATATTTGGGAGAATTCTTCTCAATGAAATTGTCGCAATGGTTGAATTCAAATCTCACTGGTAAGGGGCGATCGAATTTTCATCGTGATTAGAGTATAATTTTTGGAGTAGGTGTGCGGCTTTTTTGGCAATGGAGAAACAACTCACTTTTTCAGAACAACTTTGTTTTCTCTTTGAATCCGGTAAAAGTAATTCGGTCATACACAAAGGAAATCATTAAAGTTTCGTATGTGAATAATTCAACGTAAGTGGATCATGCATTTCTCTGATTTTGCTCTTATGGGATCATCCACCTTCCAGGTGGATTAAACTGGATATTGATAGAGCCTTTAAAGGCAACCTAGGATTTGTTGGTGCATGGGGTTGTTGACACCTAAAATTTGTAAAGTCATTTAGGATTTAAGTGCATAGAAAATTAGGGGTTTATTTTTAACCCCTAAACAAAAATATTTTCATTAAATTATATGGCACATAGATATTAGACGCATTTACATTAATAGAATTTAGTGAAACATATTTTTCTTTTTATTTTATTAAAAAAATCATTATAAAAATTAAAAAAGATAAAAAGAAAAGAGAGATGAGACAAAAAGAGGAGCTTTTCCCCATGGCTCTCCCTCTGGACACACTTACAAAAAAAGAAGAAAAGCGGGAAAGGACACAGAAGAAAGGGCTCGGCGTGTTTTCATGAAGAAAAAAAGTAAAGATGACCAGAAGAGACAAAATAGGAAAAAGCTCTTCTTCTTCCTCTCGGTCAACACGCGTCCAGAACAGGTTAAAAGAAAAGGGAGAGTGAGCTCGAGAGAGCTGAAGGAGGGAAGAACAGAGAGCCAAAAAAGAAGAAGAGAGAACGAGAGGAGAGAGGGGAAGAGAGTTCGAGGAGTGTCAGAGAGACCAGTGCCTCATCCGTTCGCCGGAGATCCGCCGGAGCCCCCGTCGAACCTTCAGCCGTCACGCCTTGCGCCGGTTCGCCGTGAACCAGGGGACGTCTTTTTTGTGGAACCGAGGGTGAGAAACCGAGAGAGAGTTTGGGAGTGAATCGGAAAAGGGATAGCTTTCCGCGTTCGCTCGCCGTCCGTCTGAGTTGTCGTCGGCCCCCGTCGAGTCTCCGGCAGCCGTGCTTCATCCCGGTCAACCCCGAAACAGGTGGGTTCTCTTCATCTTCCCCTGTTTTGAGTCCCCCGTCCCCTGCCTTTCGGGTGCCGGGCACACCGAGTCTATTCGGTGACCGCCCAGCCCCCACCAAAGGAGGATAATGCTTGTTATACGCTTAAAGAAGTGTTCTTAAACGTTGTATGTCGAAGAGAACCCATGAATCGTGTCAAAATCAGCCCAGAAAATCCATCTCTCAGTCGCCTCCCATGAATTTGTTAAAACGTCTCAAAGAAGACCTTCAAGCTTCAGACGTCGGATTTGTATGTGCCATTATTCAGCATTCTATTGCAAACCGTGACCACTTTGTTGCAAAATGTGATTGTGCAAAGCCCCACACAGCACGTTTGAGCCATATATCACCTTGAATCTTGGCCTAAAGTTTTCGTTTGAACTCGCATACCACTCGTTTGATAAAATGCCTGAGTGAAGGCCGAAACTAAAAAAAACCATGAAATCAGTGCATAGAATCTTCGATATATGTTTTGTTCGTTTGAGATTGATGTTTGGTCACTGACTCCTTGATTTCGTGTAATTTTATGGCATGTTAACTCCGGTACGAGTCGGCCATGTGTGCATACCGTACCCACCGGAAAGCTCTTCGTCGCCAGATCGATGCCCGCGGTTAGAGGCCGTTGCAGTCAGTTTCCCATCTTAGTTTTGTGTGTTTATGTATGCGTAGATTTAGAGCTTTAGATCTATTTGAGATTCGGAGAAAAAGGGGTAAGTCGACACCAACGTTCGGTCGCTTGCGTCATTTTTCATAGCTGGAGTTAGTTTATCGTTCGGTGGAGGCGGCAGCCAGCGGTGAGAGTGTGGGTCCAATGGCGGCCGTTGGCATTGGCGACGCGTGCCGACAGTCGGAGGTGAAGAGGTGGTCACGGCGTGGTCTCGACTGGATGCGTGGGGGAGGCCTCGGTGAAGAACAGTATGAAGAAGAGGATATTCTGGGTAGAAGGCACGAAGGGGGGAGGAAGACCAGAAAAGACAAAAATGGAATAAAGAGGAACTAAAAAGAAATAATAGATAAAAAAGGGAAAAAGAAAAGAGAAAAAAAAATCAGAAAAGAAATAGAAAACAAGGATACCGGGCAGGTCAGAGAAAGTCGGGTCAGGTGTCGGGCGGATCGGGTCAGGCGACCCGGTCCGGAATTTTTTATTTTATTAACAAAAATTTAAAATTTAAAAAAATTCGAAAATGTTTAAAAGTCCAAAAAAATTAAAAAGTCCGAAAAACATTTAAAAACATTAAAAAATTCAAAATATTAAAAAATTAAAAAAATTAACAAATAAAAAAATAATTTTAAAAAATCAGAAAAATTCCAAAAATCCGGAAAATAAAAAAAATATTGTTTGGGCTTTGGAATTGGTTTTTCTTGGCATTTTGTGTGATTAGAGTCATGTTTGATTGCACGTTGCTTAATTTACACATTTTGAATTGCGCGTTTAATTTAACCTTGCATGTGGTTGATTAAGCACGTTCGGTTCGCGTATTGATTGTTGCTTCCCTTACCTCGGTTAGGGATGGAATTTCAAAACTCCCAATTGCTGCATGAATACGTTAGGTGGTGTTTGAACAAGGTTAGGTACCGAAAGGGTACTAGCTGATTAATTAATGTAATCAAGTCCCCGAACCCATTGAATCTCTGGTTTGCAGAAGTGAAGCATTTTTCCCGTGCTGTACTTGGGTGTTTAGTCGACCTACCAAAAACTGATTAGTGGCGACTCCTAGATGAAATTGATTCGCGTGTTAATAACTTAAACCTAAGTCGCGAATTGGTATGAATTTGGGAGAGCTCGAGCTAGGTTTAACTTAGTAATTCATTAGCCAAACCCCTTAGGTAAAGAGGCCGATTCGGGGAGGTCGCGACAGGGGTTTATTTAGAAACGAAGGGGATGACTAGATTGATGATTTTGCCGCATTCGTAGGAATATGGTCGTCGACACAAGCAAAACTTTGGGCTTTGTGGTTGGGACTCAACTTCACAAAGTTCAAACTAATTTAAGTTCCTTCCTTGGAAACCAATGCAAGATTAACCCGAAATCAAGCCTCCAAATTTATTCTCGAGTCGACCCAATTCATTCATTCCATAATCAAAATCGTCCGTCGACTTTGCCCCGTGATCCATTTGATCAATATCGACGACTGATTTGACAAGCAAATACAACAAGCTAATTTACAAAAAAAAAAAAAAGGATTAAAACTCGAAGTTCCCCTGTCTGAGGACATATAACCAACAGTTCATACATAGAGATTGAGAACACTTTGTGAGGACCCATTCATCAATCGTGGGAATTGCACAAGTCCTCCTCGAAAACTTCAGACAGACCATAAGACAAAGCTTTGTATCAAGAAAACGATTAAAACCAAAACAAAAGCCTCTCAGACAACTTTGAATTGATTAATTTCTTCAGACCAGATGAGAATCAAGGGCCAGGATGGTGCTGAGGTTCATGGGGTACATGTACTTGGTGGACCCCTTCATGATGGATTGGACGATGAATCCGTTCGCCTTCTGTGACGGGTGAAATGGATCCCAGAATGCATACTGGTCTCGATTAGGGCACAAGTTCGATGCCGCGGTGCATAGCCCGATCCCATTGTAAGGCCCTTGGCCACAGCATGCCACTTTTGATGTCACAAACCCTGCACCAATATAATATCATGAATGATCACGTATATATGAATTATGAAGAGTGGAAGGAGTGACTTCGACTCCAGTACTTGGAAAGTTTATCGTTATATATGTTCAATAATGCCTTCCCTCCCTATCAGAAGTTCTTTTCTCCTTATAATTAACAGCTTCGATAGACTTAGACAAACTACTGACTCCAAGAACATGTGCAAGATACTCGTCGTGATCTAATTGCGATCGATTCAGGTAAGCTGTTGTGATTAATGTGAAACATATGACATATCGATATGGAGGTATGTATGCATTTGGCATATTAGCTTGCATATGATTAAGATTACCATAAGCCTGAGGGTCGTTGATGAAGTCACGATGCATGAGGTCAGTGTTGGCGGCTATGAACACGTTAGAGCCGTACTCCCGGTTGAGCCCTTTGAGCATTTGGACAAGCTGAGGGTTGAAGAGCGAAGCGGCCTGCTGGAGCTCCGGCGCGCACTGCCCGTTGCTGCCCCGCATTGCCAACTCCGCCGGGACACACCCAAGTGGCCCTGTCCCCGTCACTAGCACCCTCCTCGCCCCGAGCTCATGTAGCTTCTGCAATACCATAATTGCAATTAAAAAATTAACTTTAATTGATAAACAATAATGTGAAGGGTTATGTTCTTCTTTATATTTTTATGTCTATTTTTGGTAATAAGAATTTGTATGGTACAAGATTTTCTCGGCTAGGTGTGTTGAAGGGTCACGGGTCATTGGATCAAATGTCAGATTCAATGCATACATTTTGGCTTTTTTTATTTTATTTTGCATGCTGGACAGAGTCTTTTATGTAATTAGAGAATTATAGCTTTTGATTTTTTTTGTTGAACAAATTAGATAGTCGTTAGACATGTCTTTTGTTATGTGGGACCAAGGGTCTTGAAGATATAAGCAAAACGCAGTGCACGGACTCATCACTGTCATTTCTACAATCAAACCCACCCTTTTGTCGACGAGAACAGGAGAGACACTGTGAAAACTGAATTGCCAAGTGATCTGACTAAGCTCAATTAGATGTTTAGATAAGTTAATTAATCCCTATTTAGGTCCCCCCACTTTGTAATATAATACTCGAGTAAAATTTCTCTGACATTGATCCAAAAAAAGGCACGGAGAAAGCTATGGCTGAACTTGAAAGTTAAATGACAAAAAAGGTTAGATGATGCGACGTTGCATGAAAAGAGACTTGAACAAAATCCAAAGGAAGCCAAAAGGGGTCGAATTCGATTACCTCGAGGAGTTTCCGGTACTCAGTGATGAGGTACTTGACGTAGTCGGGTATCGCAAATTGGCGTGACCGGGCCGAGAAAGGCACCAGGAAGTAGTTGTTCACGAAGTCGTTCCCTCCGACGGTGATGAGCACAAGCGCTTGGTTCACCAGCAGTTGAGTTCTCTGAGCTCCTACCAGAGCACTCACTTTCTGCTGGTATTCCTCAAAGTACTGCAATTGCCTGTACATCCTTATAATGTTTATCTGCCAAAAAAAATACACACTTTTTTTCTTCACAAGCCATTTATATATGAATAGATCGATAGAGGAAAGAGATATGAGTGAAAAAAATTACTTGCCGCGTCTGCCCTAGAGGAAAATGGCTCGCTACACCTACCACAAATGAATGATAACATCTGATATACATTACATGTATCGTACATATATCTAGCTCATAATCACGAAATTTTAGGACGTGTTAAATAACGTTACTAGCAGCAAGTATACAACATCCGCACCGGGGTCTTTACTTTTCAAACGCAAGCGTCGACGAGTAGGCTAAGTATTACTCTTCATTTGTTGACTTAATAGAGTTGACTAAGAGCTCTTATGTCATATGCTGATTCATTGTTCATAAATATTATCCATTCTAGAGGTAGCTAGAACAGATGATGCTTACGAATTGTACTCCAGTGTCATTGAGAATTCCAATTCCAGCAGAAGCAAAATTAGCGCCTACTAGTAACTTCTCTCCTGTGAGCTCGGGACTCAGGTACGGCAATGTCGACACCGAACCTAATTCCTGACCTGAGTAATTCACATTTTAGCTGATAAATCGGACCTCATTTGCATCATAATGAAACTGAAAATGTGCACTGAAACATGTGAAAATGGAAAACCTACTGATGAAGTCCGGAATATTGAACCCATTAGAGAACCGGCCGGTGGGCTGGCCACTGGGGTAATCAATTCCGTAGGGGGGGGAGTCTGCACGGGCAGTGGTCGCCAAGTAGTTGTTGTTGCCATTGTCGACGAGTGAGTCGCCAAATACGAAGAACGCTCGAGCTGCCTCCGCAAACGGGCATAGGAAAGTTCCCATCATCGCATTGACAAAACCAATCACGACGAGGACGGTCACTGGAGATGAATGCAGAAAGCTAGCCATGATCATGGAGAGAGAGAGAGAGAGAGAGCAAGACCAATGAGTTCTGAGTTTTCTGTTTAAGTGAAACACTCACTTGGCTACGTGACTGCAATAATAAAACAGCCTTTATATAGTTATAAGTTCCTGTCCGGTTGTAATAAGGAAAAAGGTTGGTTCTCTGGTATGAGTAGTTGCATGCGGCGCCAACAGTGACCACTTCTTCTTTTGTGTCCTGAAAAAATAAAGTAAAAATAGAAGCAGTTGGCTAATTCATTTATGCATCTCAAGATCCATCCTTTAAATTTCCCAAAGGCAGCTGGCTAATTCATTTTCTTTCGGCAATGCTTGCGTCACTATCCTATTTCTCTAGGTTGCACGAGTATGAAATGAGCTGAGATGACGGGATTTATTGCGCAATTTATCATCTAGGGTTGGCATGGTCATGCATGTAAAGGTATGTCCGACATGTGCCGGCACGCGTTAACATCAGTATACCAAAACCTTTAAATGGGTCATGCGTCGGCCAGTGCTATAGCCCTAGCAACAATCTTTGCTCTCGGTTGATTTAGTGTGAAGCAGCTGGATCGGTGTCAAATGTCTCAAACTGTATCTCAAATCTCACCTACACAAGAAATCATGCACAATCATATGATACAATGAAAGCAAATATTATATATCTACATAAATCATACTCTCTCTCTCCATGAACTTTTGTATCTTTACTTGCCCCACATAATTAAAGTCGTGTTATTATTCAAAAAGAATATTTATCAACATAAAACTGAGAGGTTTATTTTTCTTTTTTTTTTTGGAGGGGGGCTTCAAAAAGAATGAGAGGTTTACATAAGGAAATCAATTAATCAAGGGAAGGCAACTCAATGAATATGGGGGACTAGGGTTTTTGTGCAGGTTCACCTACTTCTTAGTGATTAGGAAACCACGAACAGCAACATCATATTCCCATTTTAAGCGTCTCTCAAAGTTAATTTGTAGTACTACTTGTTGTCTAACTTTTTTTTTTATAATGATATGAGTAGTCCTGCACTTTTTTTACATGTTCGATATCGCTGTTAAATCGAAACTCGACCCCCACCCCCAACAAATCGAAATTCAGCTGCCACCAGCAGTAAATCGAAACTCAATCACCACCACTACAAGCACCGTCAACCCAATAGCCACCACCATGCATGCTTCTCTCTTGCTCCAAGATCGATCTCCATCAATGGACGTTGCCTCCTACGTTGAGGTGCACGATCTCACATTTGAGGTTGCTCATCTCGGATTTGAGGTCATAAGACTCAGACTTGCGACCTAGATACGAAGCTCGAGCGCCTCCGCAGATAAGTTTACGAATCCACAAGGTCTTTAGGGTATTGAAAAGAGAGATTTAATGGTAATTCGTTCGAACCCAACATGGAATGGAAGAAAATTAAGAGGTGCTTGCATTGTTAAGGTGAGTCAAACTATTCTTGTCATATTAATTACAAACTAGGATCAAATTTAAGAGTGGCACCAACTCCTCTTACAATTCCTTACAACACAAAATATGTTTTACAGGTGGATATTGCTGCATTTGCTGCATTCATGAAGATCACTTATATCATTGCCATGAATTGAAAACAGGTCATGGATCCCGGTTGGAAAACACAGTCCCAGTTTCTATTATTGGATCTAAAAAGCATCAGGTTGCAATTTCTTCGAGCAAAATACACACTTGACTTTCAGGGTCTCCCATGGCATTAAGTGTCACCAGCTACTGTGGGAATAATTGCCAGCTAAACTGTTGACTATAGGAAAAAAAAAACTGTTGACTATTGGTTAAGTAATGAACAAATTCACTCTTTGTTTTGTGTTATACACTTAGAATATTGTGTTAATCAGAAGTCATTTTTGTGGTGGATATTATAGAAGTTCTTTCGAAAAAGTTTTACGGAGATAAATTTCGTGTTTATCATTTCTTGATAAGGTTAATATCATGAAAAACCCCAAACTTTTACACCAGTGATAATTTTACCAAAAACTAATTTTTTTACCACAAAAAATCCTAAACTGGTACACCTTTGACAAATTTATCCTTAATTTATTTCCGTTAATTTTTACTGTCAAATTGCTTTGTTAAATGACATGCAGTAGTTGACTAATGTGCCAATTTTATGTTTTACCCTCCATTTGTCGTAGTTGTACCAATTTTTGATTTTTTTGTATTAATATAATTTAACGGAAACTAACGGAGGGTAAATTTGTCACAAATGTATCAGTTTGGGGTTTTTAGTGGTCAAAAAATTAGTTTTGGATAAATTTGTCATAGGTGTACCAGTTTGAAGTTTTTTATGGTAAAAAAATTAGTTTAGAGTAAAATTGTTACATGTGTATCAGTTTGAGGTTTTTCGTGGTATTAACCCTTCTTGATATGCGATTGACTTCATATCAACATAAATTGAGAAAACAATTTCTTCCAAATTGGTAACGAGGGCAATGTAATAAGGGGGTTATGGGGGCTTGGCCTCCGCGAGGAGAAGTTATTATGAAACAAGAGATTCAAAACTAAAATGTAGAAGTCAGCAAAGGATGTATATTATATACGTATCGTGATTGGTCGACTGTACCGTGGTGCTTGTGAAACAAATACATACGATACTTTTTTTGTCCACGAGACCTACTAGGGTAAGATAGAGAGAGGTCACACATGATCAACATCAATGAGCTGTCTTAAGGACTTGACCTGCCCCTCAAGAATAATTTGTAGCCCATTAACTATCGACCCCACCAATTGCCCATAACATGGGTCCATGCATTGCCCAACAATTGCCTGAAGGCCGGTCATGGCCTTTGAGCACCTCTACCCCCCTAAAGAGCCTTATGAGTAATTTTGCTCATAGCAGGAGGAGACATTCACAATGTTTGATATAGCACTACATCTCTAAAAAAATGTAGAAATTAACCCGTCACCACCATAATAGGCCACTATCCTACCATCGAAAGTTGATAGGGCATAAATTTGATGCTATGTCAAAAACAGTGTTTAGAAAAATTACAGAGTCAAACCCTACAAAATCTTAAAGGGTCAGCAGCTACTCTCTCGCAGCTCTCATGCTGACTTGTAGCTGAACTTGATTTCAGCTAGGATGAACCTGCGTTAACAATGAATCTAGAAAAACAGCCCCGCTTGCCTCTTTGGAAGCTATTATGATGTATGGAGTAATTGCTGAGTTTCATTATGTTCATCATATGGCCTAGGCATTGGTACTTTAAGAGACACGGGCCTAAAACCCTAAATCACTCCTCTAGTCAACCCTCCTAATTGGGTGTCACTCGTGGACCACCGAAGTATGAGGTGATAAATTAATTATATACGGTGCCAAGCCAACTACTTTACTTAAATAGTTTTCCTTTTCAGCGTGCCTTAGCTGGAGAAACAAGCAGTTGAACTAACACCCTTTCCAATTGATGATCTCCCATTGAATTGCTGTGTATAAGATTGCCCTACTTTTCAGGCTCTGATTAATTGCCAACGATTGGAGAACTTTTCTAGGAAGCCATGCATGCGATCCACTTCCGTGTGACAAACGGATATGTAATTGACCATGTGTCGGTCATCCGAGAAGAAGTTATTAAGTGATATATAACAAATGGATTGAGTCGAATTTAGACCGTTGAAAATGATGAGTCTCACCAGATTTGATGATCCAAATTTAGTTTAGTACATTTACAGAGTTCATGAAATAACTTCTTGTCATGGGACTGCAAAATTTTAAAAGATTCCTCCTTCAAAAAGCTTAGTCAATAACTTCTCATCATGCTCATTTTGTTGTAACTGATGGTTGGGGTCTCCCATATATTGGGATCCAAATCTAACAATGTCTATGACATTTGGTTCATAGACATGGAGAGCATATGATAATTCAGGTCAATGGGAAAAGAGATGTTCAAAGTAGACTATCACGATCGACCTCCAATTTTGTAAACATTAAAAACGGGGGTTTCACCTAGTATGCGCTAAGTCTAGATCTGGGACTTAAACTCGGGCTCTTCTAAGCACATATCATATCACGACTTAAGGTTTAGGTTTTTAACCTGCAAGTAATTTTTATCTAGGAGTCGTCACTAATCGGTTTTGGGTGGATCGATTAGAAACCCAAGTAAGGTGACGGGAGAATCACCCTACTCCTATGAACCAGAGATTAAATGAGTTCGGGGACTTTGTTACACTAGTTGAATAATTAATGCCCTTTTGGAACCTTTTTATCCTGTTCATTTCAGAAAATATTTGTCAGGCAATTTTGGATTGATTTTAGGACCTTTATCCTAACATGTGAAGTGATTAAGCGAGTGCACAATCATTAGTGATTAACAGTCAAGATAGATATGCAGTCTAGGGTTCTAACCCTAACTAAGGTGACAACATTTAAAACAGGGCAATTTATGCAATTAAAAATAACATGCATAATAATAATACAACAGTAGCAAAGATAACGTGCAAAATACTACCATATAGTTCTATATGATTATCTGATTTAAGCCACGATTATTAATCAAATAATTCACATAATTTAGAAAAATATTCAAAAATACTAATTTCTAAACTATTTCCTAATTTTATAAGAAATAATAAAAAATGATTTTTTTTATATATTTTTATTATTTATAAATAATAATAATAATAATAACGATTTTTTTTAAAAAATTAAATTTTTAAAATTTTTTTATTACAAATAATATAATATTAAATATAATAATCAACTGGGTCGGGTCGGAGGACTCGGGTCGAGTCAAATCCGACCTAGGTCAACGAACTCGACCCTAAATTCGACCCAGGTCAACGAACCCGACCCTAAGGCATTGACTAGGATTGGATCTCTGAATCCGAACCGGGTCGGGGTCAATCCGGGTTGTTGACCCGAATCCGACCCGAATCTGCCCCTTCACAGACCCAAATCGCCTGTTTTGTTTTTTTTTTCTTCTCGGTCTCCCCTGTTTCTCGCGAACCCACTCGGCTGGCGCTCTCGCCGAACCGCCGAGAGGTTCCGGTGTCGACCAGGCCCCCACGACAGACGATGTCGGATCTTGACGAGCTATGGCCGACGACCACGACCACCCAACTAATAAAAATTATTTGA